CGGATGGGCGACCTGGATCCTACCTGGGGTCTTCAGGCAGGGGTCCTCTTTGATGCTGTTGCGCTGGGTGGAGAGTGTTTGTGTGATGGTGACTGCAAATGAGAAAGGATGAAAACAGCATATAGGGAAGTACAGTAAAATATCTCTTCTGACCTACCACTCTCCCACCTTTGCTAGGGCACGGCTGTTCCTGTGGCCAGCATAAGGCTCAGCTCGAGGGGAACATCACAAAGCTCATTTCATATGGTGACATCCCCAGGGAGGGTCTTCCAAGACCCAGTAAGGTTCTATAAGCTCCTTATTTCTTGTTGTCTGCCAGCATGCTCAGAAAGTCTGAGTACCATGAGGTTGGTAGGACTTTTGGGAGAGATGTGAGGTGAGGAAGGAGTTGTAGGGGTTGTGGATTTTGCTTTAATATTATCCTTTCAGAGCTGTGATGGGATGAAGAGGTGATGTTGGTTCTGCCCATTGATCTTTGCCTCTGGGCATGGATCATATAATGAGAAGAAACAGCAAACAGGGCAATGGGATTGTATGAGAGGTGAGTGATTTAAAAAGATATGAGCATGGGGAGCTGGACATTTTGGGAGAGCTAAGTGAGGTAGGGTGGAGGTGTTACTTACCTGGGAAGAAGGCAGGCAGGCCAGGACTGAAGTAAAGCACTTGGTTGCTGTTCATGATGCAGAAATAGGTCCCCTCGTCCTTTGATGTGAAGGACTTCACCACCAGCCAGTAGAACTTGCCTTGTTTGCTTGCCTCGAAGCGTGTGGATTCCTTTGCATTCCCCTCAAATCTGTTCCAGAACAGGGAAGTGGTAAAGACAATGAAGTGAAGGGTCCCACCCTTGTCCTGGCGGATCCAGAATACACCACTGTACTTCTCAGGGATCACACACTCCAGCTCCAGCCGCTGTCCCATCTTGGGGTGCGTGATGCTGCTGTCACGAAACCTGGCTGTCATCTGGTACCTCTGGCCCTGGATCCCAGGGCAGCCTGCGGGAGAGAAATTCTCCTCATGGAAACTGCTTGGGAAAAGCCATGTCCCCTCTGGACAAAGCACATTCCCTGTCCATGGAGTGTGAGGTCCAGTGCGAAGGGGGAGGCACGTTGTCCCAGTGAAGGTATTATTGGAGTCCTTGCTGCGATCATGTGTGTGGGGTGGTCAGCAATCAGACACCAGGTTTTAGGGATGGGTGCTGCCCTTCAGAAAAGCCTTTCAGCTCACTTCTCAGCTACAGTGCCCCAACGCACCTTAAATGAAGTCACTCCCTAAAACACCGACTCCTAAAGTCTCTCTTTATCCTCTCCCCTCCAGTACCACTTCTCCAACCTGATCCCTTCCCATTGCACATGAGGCAGCAGCCACCCCTCTGGCTGCCCTATGCTGGCTGAGGCAATGCTGCCTTTACCTCCACAATTACTGAGCAATCCTCAAAGGAAGCCTTTTTGCTTGGCTTTTAATTTTCCCTTTAATTATTTAGCCCAATGTCTTGGATGCAGTGGAAGTGGTTGAGTTGTCCCTCCCGGTGCAGATGATGCACAGCCCTGTGTCCATACTCACAGAGCCCCAGAGCCAGCAGAAGGAGCAGCTCAGGAGTCCTGGCCATCTTCTCCTCAGGGTGGCCGTCCTCAGGGATGGTGCAGCGGAGCAGAGATGATCTTTGTTGCTTGACTTGGGAGGCTGCGTTGCTGTTTGGAGAGGATGTGATGTCATCAGAACCCTCTTGGGTAAAGAGGTGGTGTTCGGCACTTGCGGTAAAATGAAGGGAAACTTTCTAAACAAATTCTGTTGTAATGCAAAATATGGGCTCATTTATCATTATTGGTTCTTGATGGTGCCTCAAGGATTATGTCTCGATGACTTCCCTAGAGATTGAGGCTGGAGATGCTGGTGCCTGAGGTAGGATCATCTATTGCAGCCTGCTGACTTCTGGCTGCCTGGGGGCTCACAGCGGCTCCAAAGAAGTCCTGGACAAGCCCTGTGCTTTGCTTGCAGCCTCCAGGTTGCATTTCTTGGCAGGGATTCTGCTGCCTTTATGTCTTAATACCCAAGGGTTTTGGTGGAAGGCAGGTGTTTTGTTAGCCAGCAAGAAAGACAGAGGATATTCATGGCATACATCCATGTGTTTTCTTGTCATTGAGCACATACATTGCTGACATGCTGAGTTCTTCAAGTGCTCAATAGATCCCTTTGCCATTCTTTTTTGCAATTGCTCTGCAACAGCTGCTTTGTGCAAGGTGAGTGATCAGTGTTCTAAGACCCACTGAGAAAGTCCCATGCATTAGGAGTGTGCTTTCTTTTAGTGTTCTAACATCTTTTAGCTTTCTTCTCTAACCACAGAGGCTTCCGCCCTGCCAAAGAACGTTGCACCACACTCTTGGTTCAACGGAGAGGGCCCTTGCTACTGCCTGCAGGTGACCACTTGCAGGTGGTTATGGGTGATGCTTCTTGGAGATTTGCACAGACAGCAGCAACAGTTTCACCAGACTGCAAGACAGATGGGTTGGTGTATTGTTTGTGTACACAAGTGTAGCCAAACAGCAGAGTTCCAGTGGAAGCTCAGTGCTTGACTGGAGTGAACAAAGCTCAGCCTTTGGAATGGATATTCCTTTTTCTCCTGCTTTTCCTCTACCTCATTTTCATTTTCAGACTTAAAGACACTGCTACGGGTTTCCTCTTTCTTGGTATTATGTCTCTACTTTTTCTTTTACTTTGGCTAAAGAAACAGAGGGATGGGGAAGATGCAAGTAG